ATCAATCATTATTATTATCATCATCATCACTCATCATCACCATTATCATCATCATTATTATCATTATCAATCATTATCATCATCATCAATCATCATCACCATTATCATCATTATTATTATCATTATCAATCATTATTATTATCATCATCATCAATCATCATCACCATTATCATCATTATTATTATCATTATCAATCATTATTATTATCATCATCATCACTCATCATCACCATTATCATCATCATTATTATCATTATCAATCATTATCATCATCATCAATCATCATCACCATTATCATCATTATTATTATCATTATCAATCATTATTATTATCATCATCATCACTCATCATCACCATTATCATCATCATTATTATCATTATCAATCATTATCATCATCATCAATCATCATCACCATTATCATCATTATTATTATCATTATCAATCATTATTATTATCATCATCATCACTCATCATCACCATTATCATCATCATTATAATAATCATAATTATCATAATCAATATTATCGTCATCAATATCACCATTATCATCATCATTATCTATCATTATTATCATCATCAATCATCATCACCATTATCATTGTCATAATTATCATCATCAATATTATCATCATCAATATCATCATTATCATCATCATTATCAATCATCATCATTATTTTCATCATCAATCATCATCACCATTATCATAATCACCATTATCATCATCAATATCATCATCAATATCATTATCATTATTATCATTGTCATTATCAATCATTATCATCATTTTATCCCTCTTCAAATGGTTTGATCTGTCTCTTTCAGTGTAACTGTTCAGTAGTTGGTACAGAAACCACCTGGATTTGCTAGACCCTGTTGGCTTGAATGGCCCTGGGATTAAATCTTAATAAAGGGTATAAATACCCAGCAGGGGAGGCAAAACCACCTGGGAATCCTGCCAGGAAGCAGGTGGCAAAGAGATCCTGCTGCTGCCAGGGCAGCTTCTCCTGCTGGGACTTGGCACCTGCCCGTGCCTCCCTCAGCCCCTGCTGCTTCCTCCTCTTACCTGCAGCCCAACCCACACACCTGTGGGCACCAGGAGGGGGTGGCCGGGAGCAGAGGGGCCAAAATGAGGCTTTTCTTGTGTAAAAGCACCAGTGCAGGTGGTGAAAGGCTGAGCTCAGGTCTTCAGTGAGCTGGGTTGCCTGGTCCTGAGCAGGCAGGGGGTTCTAGTCTAGTTCAAGTTAAGAATAGTAGGAATGATTCAGGATTTTGTTCCTGCCTTGCCCACCTGCCTCAGTGGCCTGAGCAGTTGTTCCCTCTCTCATCTGCTGCTCTTATGTAGCTTATTTGTCTCTGGAAGGGGAAGAATAATTAGAATTAAACCCCAACAGCCTTCCCAGCTCACCCAACAGGCCCAAGGCCCAGGCTGGGGAAGCACATGGAATGTCAGAGAGGGAGGGATCTCCCCTCACAGACCTGCCAGCTGGCAGCAGACTCCACAGGGGGAGAAACATTGAATTATGAGGGGTGAGCTGGTGCCAGCCTTGTCCTGCTGATGTCAGGGGAGCACAGCAGTGCTGAGCACCAGCCCACTCTGCCTGGACACCAAATTGCTGCCTCCAGAGATCATCTGCCTCACCACAGCCCTGCCCAGGCTGGCTTTTTGTCCCTGGAAGTCAAAGCCAGGCTAAAATCAGTGGTGCTGGGAGGGCTGTGCTAGCCATGCTGCAGGGAAGATGCCTCTCACAGCAAATAATCATGGGATTACCTGGGTTGGAAAAGACCTGCCAGCTCATCGAGGCCAAGTACAGCTGCAGTCTGGGAGGAGGATAAAAGATAAGGTGCTTAAAGAAGAATTTATAAGGCTTAACTTTGCTTCTTGGTGCAGATGTGGCAGAAAGAGACTTCCTGAGGTTGGGAGGCTGGGAGAGGCCACAGCAGGTCTGGCCATAGGTCCCTTTCACCTGGGTGTAAGAACAGGTCCTTTCCTGGCTGCTCTTGCCCCTCCTGGCCCCTCTCTGGAGGCTGAACCTCAGAGCTTCAGAAAGGGGGGACCCCCCAGAGCCTTCCCCAGCAGCAGGGGGGTTTGCTGAAGGATGTTCCTGCCTGTCCCAGGAGCACAATGAGCCTTCCCCTCTGCTGGCAGCTGCCATGCAGACCCTCCCGGGTTCAGAGTGTCCAAAGATCCTGTTCTGATTGTGTGATGCACAAGCTGGGGGGTCCCAGAGAGACCCCCACAGCATCTGGGCATCTCACACTTCAACAGGAGAAGATGCTCTTGGCCCAAGTCTTGCTTTTCCAGGCAGGTTCCTCACCTGGCAGGGGGAAGATTTTCCAACCTTCACTGGAACCCAAGTCCTTTCTCTTGGCCAACCTCAGCTCAGTGTCCATCCAGGCAATGTCAGCTCAGGCAGGGAAGAGGCTCTTCAGGGATCATCCACACTGACCATGCAAATTGGAGTGAAAAGAAACCACAGCAGGAGATTTGCATTTAAGCAAATCCCAAACAAGGCATCGTGTGGAGGAACCAGTAAATTGTAGGAAAGGCATTTCCACTGGGCTCAGCTGGAAGTCCAGCAGTGGAGCATGAGCCCTGCCTTCCCTCTGCTCTGGGAAGCTCATGACCAACAACCCTTCCTCAAGACCCTGCAGAATCCAAAGGCTGGGAGGTGTCAGCAGTGACCACCATGGAAGCAGGTGAGTTGCAGCACCTTGACTTTCCTCAAAGGTAAAGATGCCTCTTCCTGGGAATATCATGGAAAGGACGTTCTGTGCCACCCTTGGGCTGATACTAAAAGCCAAAGAAATCAGGAAGAATTGCCCAAAGTCAACATGTGGCACCTGGAAATGTCCCAAGATCATGTTCCATCTTCTCTGGGCTGAATTTGTGTTCCTTCACAGTGCAGTATTTCTATTGCCTTTGGTTTTTCCAAAAGGCAGTTAGATCCTGCTGATAGGATTCAATTTACTCAAAAAAATTATATAAACTTGGGCCTAAATTAGCATGGGCTTCCTCAGGGCTGCCAACAGCAGAGTTACCCTGAGCTTTCATAGCTCAGCATCAGATCCTCAGGAATAACTCCCTGAAAGAAGCAGGTTGAGGTAGGTGAGGCTGGGCTGTTAAAAACAGGGTTAGAGAGCAGAGACGTTGCACTGTAAGGACCTGAGCAGAGGAATAAACGAGTGTATGAAGCAGTTTGAACAGCACTGAACTCCTGTGTAAAAGCAAAGAGGTATGGAAGTGTCTTTGCAGTGTTTTTGAAGGCAGATGTTAGAAAAGCAGGGCAGCAGAAGTGCTGGAGATGGTCCCAGAGAAGCAGGGTCAGTTCACCCAAAGAGGCTGTAGGACTGGGCAGTGTCAGCCTGCAGAGCAACAGAATAAAAGCTGCTCAGAGCTTTTGCAATGATGTTATTTTAGAAATATCCCTCCTCCCAAAATGAAATACAAGCCTGTCTGCCTGGCTTCAGCCTCCTCTGTGAGTTCTGTGCTGAATCAATGCCTGAATCTTCAACTGAGTTGAAAAGTTACAGCTGGTTACAGGAGTGGGTGAGTTATGGCAGGTACCAAACCCTCCCTGAGCTGAGGGAACTGGGCTGCAAGTTCAGACAAATGACAAAACTCTTCTCCCTGAAGGAACTCTCATGCAAAGATGTAGGAAGTCCAGTTATTTTCCTGCCAGTTCTACCTGCTCTGCCCCAGCTTTTCAGCTCCAGCTCCATGTGCTTCCAACTGCTCTGAGTGAGAACAGCCCTGAAAAGGGACTAGAGGAGGCAGAATTCTTCCTAGGGCCATGGAAAGAAACCAGACTCAGTGAGAAGAGCCCTAAGAAGGGACTAGAGGAGGCAGAATTCTTCCTAGGGCCATGGAAAGGAACCAGACTCAGTGAGAAGAGCCCCAAAAAGGGACTAGAGGAGGCAGAATTCTTCCTTGGGCCACAGAGAAGAGCCAGCCTCAGTGCACAGGTTCTCCTCAGCTGCCAGGGTTGAGCTCCACTTCTGGCTCAGTCTTGCCCACAGATGCTCACTGGTCTGTATCCAGGCTCATTGTTCACCTCTGTTTTGATCCCAATCTCTTGCAATGGGTTTGCCCTTTGTGCCCAACCTTGGCTGAAGTCCCTCTGGCTACACCAAAGCCCAACAGGAAACATCTGGGACACCCCCAAGGCAGCACTGAGACTCTGTGTTGTTTGAACCCTCTGCCCTTCCCATTCTAAGCTCTCCAGGTGCACCTGGGGACACAAAACCAGGTGAGGGAAAGTCACAAATGGGGCCAAAAATGGAGCTTTGCACCTCCTGAAAAAAAAAAAGCAGGAGGGCAGAATGATCAAACACCATTCTAGGGATCAAACAGCTCAGCTGTGGAATGGCTGGTTTTGTTCCCTTGGGAGAAGTGGCTGCCTGTTTTCCAAGGGATTAGCTTCAAAGCCAAGTTCTGCTCTGGAAGGTTTCAATACAAGCCCATATGGACTCTCCTCCCTGGCTCCACAGGTGCCAGCTCCCTGCCCAGGCACAGCCTGCTCCCCAGGGGAAAAGCTCTGCCTGGTTTTGTGCCTCACACCTCCCCGTGCCAAACACAGGGCAGATCCCAGAAAGCCAGGAGGAGAAGACAGGGGCTTGACACCAGAAGTCACACAGCCCCTGTTGGATGGGTTGTGCTGTGCTGGGTGACACTGCACCCCTCTTTGTGCCTTCCTGGGTAACCCTGAAAAAGCACCAGGGCCTGCAGGTCCCTGTGTTTGCTGTGGGTGCAGAGCAGGCAGCTCATTTTCCCTCCCCCAAATCCCCACTCTTGATTCCCATCACCTTCCAGAGGATCCACTCCAGCCCTCTGGGGTGGTTCCCCTCTTTGCTGCACTGAGATCAAAGCTCACAGAGCCCTGTGCTGGAAACCAGCAGCTCCACAAGGACCAGGAGGAGCTCTGACCACAGCAGTTCCAGGAGAGGCAACAAGGGCTGCAGAGTCACAGTGGGATTTGCTGACCCAGAGGGAAATCTAGGATCCCCCAGAGCTTTCTTGGGAAAAATGAAAGCCAAAAGCCAGCAGGCAGCCACCTCTGGCACAGGGGGAGCTGCACAGACACCTGGTGGCACCCAAAACTGAAAGGCAGGGCAAGGGCACCTCAGCCTTTGCTCTCTACAAATGAGCAGCCTTCACTCTTGGGTCATACAGGATCATTTTGTATTAGCACCAGCAGTTTTCTCTGCCTCCTTCCTAACCTCATGTTCCTTCCTAACCTGATGATGAGGCCACGGATTTGTCTTCTGTCACAACTTGGTAGCAACTTTCCAATACCTGAAAGGGGCCTACAAGGAAGCTGGGATGGGGCTTTTCACATGGGTGTGTAGTGAGAGGACAAGGGGTTTGAAGCTTAAAGAGGGGAGATTCAGGTTGGGCAGTAGGAAAAAGTTCTTTACATGGGTGTGTAGTGAGAGGACAAGGGGTTTGAGCTGTGGCTGCCCCATCCCTGGCAGTGTTGAAGGGCAGGTTGGATGGGGCTTGGAGCAGCCTGGGCTGGTGGGAGGTGTCCCTGCCCATGCAGGGGGTTGGATCTGGATGATTTTTCAGGTCCCTTTCAACCCAAACCATTCCATGTTTCTATGATTCTATGAACCCCTTCCAGCTGCTCTGGGCTTTCCCTGACCTCCTTTAATGCTTCTCTCATTCCCTCAGTCCCCACAGATTTTGGCAAGCGGGTGTACCAAGGAGTGAGGGTGAAACACACAGTCAAGGACCTGCTGGCTGAAAAAAGATCCAGGCAGAGCAGCAGCTCCCGCTTCCCTGTAAGTCTCTCCCCAACACTCTCTCCCTCCTTTTTCCTTCTGGAACTCGAGCAGAAAAGTCCTGTCACGTCACCTGGTTTACACAGCATTTCTGTGGAGTTTAGGGCAGGGAGCAGCAAAAAAAACCCCACCTGCAACACTAATGTTGGCCCCAAAAGATCACAGAAGGCTCCTTGATTATTATTTTTTACATCAGTGAAGCTCCAAGGGATTAAAGTCCTTTGTTGTTGTTGGGTTTAGTGTTGGTTTGGTGTTTGGGGGTTTTTTTAAGCCAATCAGTAATGCTGAATTTCTCATTCCCTCCTCACCCTGCTGATGACAACTTTCCAAGTCAACTTCCTTTACCCTCGAACAACTCATTGCCACAAAAATAGATGTTCTTCCCTGAATGTTGTGCTCCTTCCAGCTCCTCTCTGGCACACCAGAGTGCCAGGGGAGATGTAGTGATGCTATGGTCTGGAAAGAGGCCAAGCATCAGTTTGTTAAGAGATCATTCCTCTTTAAAGTGGTTCTATGGCAACAGGAAACCTCACTCAAATTATAGTGCACTACAGGGTCAGGTTTTTTCCCCCACTTACTGACCAGAAAAGCAATGCTGTCCCCATAAGGGGACAAAAGATTTCAGGTGGCAGCACGTGGCACCTGCCCCAGCAGCACGGGAGGCCATTCCGTGTGTCCCCTCAAGACTCACCTTTCCCAAGCAGCAGGACTTCACTCCCAGGCTGACAGGGAGCAGTGGGGCCACTGACAGATGAGGAGATGCAGTCAAGCTGCTGAAGCCACCTTGGAAGGAAATGGTGGGAGCAGAGACCTGAATGACTGGCAGCAGGAGACACTTTTGATGCTCTTTTCACCCACCCCCCCACTCCCCACTTCCCCAAGCTCTTTGCCTCAGGCTTTTTTTGCCATTAGCAAAACATCAAGACCTCAAAGGGACTTGTAAGTATCTTTCTCACTGTTACTTTCATGCACATTCACTCTGGGTAACAAACCAGGCAGAAACCAGCAGGGGCATTACCAAGAAACATGGGGAGGGACTTGGGACAAGGGCAGGGAGGGAGAGGACAAGGGGGAAGGGATTGAAACTGGAAGAGGGAGATTGAGGTGAGACATGAGGAGGGAATTGTGGAGTGTGAGGGTGGTGAGAGCCTGGCCCAGGTTGCCCAGGGAAGCTGTGGCTGCCCCATCCCTGGCAGTGTTGAAGGGCAGGTTGGATGGGGCTTGGAGCAGCCTGGGCTGGTGGGAGGTGTCCCTGCCCATGCAGGGGGTTGGATCTGGATGATCTTTAAGTCCCTTCCAACCCAAACCATTCCGTGATCCTATGGCACAAAGCAAGATCTACCCCGACCCCCTCAGGGCTGATGCAGAAAGGCAGAAGACCCCCTGAGCTGTGGACAGTCACTGGGAAACTCGTGGTCCCCCCATGAAGGCTGCTGTGGGGAGCAGCAGGAAGCAGCTGCTGTGTTTGCACATCCTGATGGATGAGTGCCCTGCTCCCCCTGCTCCCCCAGAGGCGGCAGCTTCAACAGCTGCAATCAAAAGCCCCAGGCACTGTAAAAACCCCTTCCTGCTTTATTGCCCTTGACTTTGTGCTCCAAAGCTCAGCACTTGCCTGTGGCTGATGCAAAATCAGCCCTGCTGCTCATTCCCGAGGAGAGACAAAGTGTTATTGTGCAGGGCAAACATCCTTATTTGCTTGGCTGGATGGTGAAGAGAACAGCTGGAAGGGCAGCTCTGTTTATCTGACATCATAAATATAATCCAGAATCAAAGCACATGGCAGATAACTGAGCTTTGCTGTGTTTATGATGCAGTGCAATTCAGCTGCATCTTTTGTTCCAACCTGAGCTTTGCTCCAAAATCAGTAAGCCTTTGATTTGGCTCCAAAAATCTATGGTGTGGAGGAGACCTGCTTTAGAGAGGTCATTGCTCAGCAAGTGGGAGCTGCTGGGTTGTTGACTGAGGCAGCAGAACAGCAACGATTTCATGACTGCCAGGCCCTGCACATGATAAATGGTAGGGAACCAGTGTGTACTGTGGTGAAAACCACCCACTGTGGGCTTCTGAGTTCCCACCAACTGCTGGGATTGGTCCTGAGCTTTAGGAGCATCTGCCTGTGAGGAAAGGCTGGGAGAGCTGGGGCTGCTCAGCTGGAGAGGAGGAGGCTGAGGGGGGATCTGATCAGTGCTGATCAATATCTACAGGGGGTGGCAGGAGGATGGGCCAGACTCTTCCCAGTGGTGCCCAGGGACAGGACAAGGGGCAATGGGCACAAACTGGAGCACAGGAGGTTTGACCTGAATAGGAGAAAATCCTTCTGGACTCTGAGGGTGGCAGAGCCCTGGGACAGGCTGCCCAGGGAGGGTGTGGAGTCTCCATCCCTGGAGACATTCAAACCTGGACGTGTTCCTGTGGGATCTGCTCTAGGGGATCCTGCTCTGGCAGGACTAGATGATCTCCAAAGGTCCCTTCCAACCCACACCACTCTGTGACATTTTTTTCCTTTGGCTCATCCACTGCACAGGCAGGACCCAGCAGGTACCCTCTGCGTGAGAAAAGATCACCCTCTTCTCTCAGGTGGGGAGACTGGTGGGTACCCAGGTGGAGCCCTGTGCCCAGCAGCACCCAGAGGCCAAGGACAGATCATTCAGCAAAGCACTGAGGTGCCCTGCCCAGCCTGAGCTTTGCTTTTCTGCTTCATTCTTATTCCTTCAGCTGCTCTACTACAGGTTGGGCCCAGAGAGGTGAAACATATATATATATAGTCAGAAGGCATCACAGGTCCCCACTGCAGGACAAGACCATTATTTTGACCTGAATCCTTACATTTACTGCCCCAAGACAGCCTGGCAGCTGGACAGAGCTCCTGGGTAACCAAATTAGGGAAGCAACACAGTCCCCTGAGCCCCCCAGCCAGTATCTCTGCCCAGTCATGTGCAGGAGGGGCTGGGACCAAGCTCAGCAGCAGCTGAGTGATGCTAACCAGACACCCTGCTGTGCTGCAGGAGATCCAGCTCTTCCAGCCCCACAGCACTGGGAGGAAGCCCAGCAGGGAGGAAATGAACTCATGGGCTTCAATTAGGGCCAGCAATTTGTCACCTGATAAGGAGCAGGGAGGCAAGTGAAATGTAGATCTCTGTAAGTTGCCTGCTCTGGGGGAGGCCAAAGATGGGCTGCTGCAGGGGCTCTTCCCATGGGATGGAGGCAGGGGAAGCCCTTGCAGCTGCTGTCAGCTCTGGGGTCACCCAGCATGGTGTGGGACAAGGGGACCTGCTGCCTGTGACACTGCCAGGTGGTTTCTGTGGCTGTTGAACAGGCAGGATCAAAGCCCAGCTGAGATGCCCTGCTCATCTGAAATGCTCCCCAGGCTGGCAGCTGTGCCCAGGGACCTTCCTGTCCTTCCAGGAGAGCATCCCAGCTCCCTTCACTGCAGCCCTTTGCCCTGAAGGCAGCACCTCTGCTACCTGCAGTTCCTCACTCAGCTTCTCCCTCAAGCACAGCACCAGGGGTGCCAGGTGCCAGTCCCAGGCTGCTCCCCCATGGGGTGTTAAGACTGGGCTCTAAATACCAGTGCAGGGGCCTCCACCACTGCTTCCCAAGGGATTCCTCCTCAGTGCCTGCAGGAAGAGGTGGATACGATGGGATGGGCAGGCAGGGGAGGTGGTGGTGAAAAGCCCTGAAGCAGGAGGGGGTGTGGGTGCTGAGAAAGGGGTGTCTGCTGAGGCCAGATTTGCATGAGGAGGCTTCAGCCCTGCAGGGCAGTGGGTACTTCCAGCTCTGATCCTCCCTGGGGTCTGGGGCTGGGAATGGCCCAGCTGAGGACACTGCAAGCCCCAGCCCTGACCCTGCCAGCTCAACATCCTCATCTGCCCACAAGCCCAAGGGCTCCTTCCTGACACCTCCTGTCACTCCCACAGCCCCTGTGACTTGTGTGGGCTCGGAGCTCATTTCCATGCTGGAGCAGGGAGCAGCTGCAAACCTCCCTTCAGCAGCAAAAGGAAGTCCCAGCACTGGCAAATTTAATTCAAATCTTAAACCTCTAAATTTGGTTGCTTGCTGTGGCAGGAACCTCCTGGTTGCACTATGCAAACTGGAAGCAGCATGCCAGCATCCCTGGGCAGGGCTGCAGCCCAGCTGAGGGCAGGGAAGCCAACTGCATTCCTG